TCTTTGGATGAGCAAGGCCGATATGACCTTTCTGTCCCCCTCACGTGTTAAAATTACCCAGGCCGTTGTAGGCATCCCTGGGTAGACATTAACTGTCAATTACCTGTAGAACATAACCACATAGCTGTGGTACATACTCACCTGTGGGTATGTGCCAAAGTGCCTGTAGTCAAAGTTGCTGCAGTTGCTGCAGTCAAAGTTGCTGCAAAAATGCTTCACATTTAAAAAGCTGACATCGGCAGCGTTGACCAAACAAATGCAAAGGATAAAAATCAGGGTGCTAGAAAATCGAACCCCTCCCTTATGCGTGGTTATAAAGCATAGGTCGTCAAAACTTGTGGAGTCCACTCAGTCCATTTGTTAATATATTTTAGGCTGAGGGCTCACTCGCACTCAGAATGACAAAAAAAAATTTTTGAACCACTCTCAGTTAAAATACACTCATAAAAATTTTGAACTGCATCCACTTGGAGTCAAACTCACCAAAATATTGCCCACTTGAACTCATAGCTTGTTCTGGGTCTGAAAAAGCCCAAATGAGTTGATCAATGCCCTTTAAAGGGACACTAAAGGCAACAATTAAGTCGAAGTTGATTGTTGAAATAGTGTTCCAGAAACCTCGCAGTGTTACGTTTGTGCCAATGAAGTGCTTATTTTGAAATAAAATCAAGTTTTAGTAGCCATGTTACGTTATGGTACTTCAAATTAGGCGCCTCAAGCAGAACGTCTCACGTCACTGTTGCCGTGTACAGCGTTGTACGGATTTACTGCGTGGCCACGGACACTGTAGCAGGAGAACAAAAGCAGTGAGAGCCACAGCAGCAACAAACGGTCATTGAACAACTTCCTGTCATTAGTTCCAAGATGGTAGAGGTGCTTGAATCAAATCGGCACTACTCAATGGCACAAACAGTCCAGTTTAACCAGGCGAAAATTGAACTTTTGAGTCACTCGCGTCATTACTCATCGTAACGTCCGACTGTTACTTTTACCATGAATCAAACAGAAACAAACATGCAGCGTATTATGTCTCTTGATTCATTGAAGGTTCTATTTGGAGATACAGCTAGTTCGTTTACTAGGTATTAATTCTAGGCTGAAATTCTTACGTAATCGGGATCATTTTGCGAATGCCCTACTGTGGCGCATGTGGTCTCGTGCATTTACCTTAATTTCAGGGTAAGTAGGGCACTTCTGTTGATAATATTGTCGTTTTGGACGTTACCATAAATAAATCGTTGACTCTCACGTCAATTGGCATTTTACATTAGTGTCCTTTTAACACTGATATTTCACACTATCGCTGCCTTTCTTGGCGCCTTTTGGGATAATTCCTCTAAAAACGAGTTGTGACTGCTCGCAAATAAGGAAGGTCACTTTTCTTAAAATAGACAACAACATGGGATATATTTGTCGAGCGTTTTTCTGCAAAAGTTAGAATAGGGAGTTCCAGGCACCGCCGTACGTGATACACGCCTCTGAATGTTAAATATTGAAATTGCTGTATGAACTACATGGCTTCAGAATGCACGTCAGTAGACAAACGTGTACACGTGAATTCATGTAGGGCTGATAGAAATGGTGAAGGTTGGCCCTTAGGCTGGATAAAACACAAAGAACTTAATAATTAACTTAATTAATACATATTGCCCTATGGAATGACTATAACTATGGCTCAAAAAAATTTTGCCTGAGCCGCACTCACTTTGACTCTGTGAGAGTTCCATCTGAGATAGCTTCATTGCGATATAGCAATTACAAGGAGACTATGGCTGCATTTTTGCCATCGCTGTCACCGTCAAGTTCCCTATCTGTCCAGTAAATTACCATCGCGGTCTGATGCATCTCATCATCTATGTGCGAGTGAAAGGGTTCGAGGCTGCCGATGATCGTGCCCGAGCCGAGAAAACGTGCCAAACATTTTTTGTCATGCGAAAGACACAAAGAGATAAGACGAGAAGAGGCGAGAGGAGCTGCGTGCTTCGGGCAGTTAATGCGTACTTTGAATGACTTCGCGTTATCACCCGCAGTCGCGCGCGTGTATGTATCGAGGACAACAACAGACGGCTTGATTACTTTTCAAATTGTTGTGCTCCGATTGCAAAGCTTGCGTCGAAGCCACACCCACTACAAAAGGAACTTAACGCAGCAACTGCGTATGTTCCCTAAAGGACTGAGCTTTACACTTCGGATAACTAGAGTCCTTGAAGCATTGCAGGACTTTGGTATAACACAACTTATTGCTATTGTATTCGCTACTTTAATGGACGTTGGCAGCATTTCGTCTTGGTGGGTGCAAACTCAAGCTGTGTCGCTCTAGAAGAGGGGGAGCGCGATGGTGTTAAGGGGAAGGGGGCGTGGTGGGCCGGGGCAACTGCTTATGAGGCTTGAGGGGGGCTAGTGCTCTTTTGCACCACCCCGCCAACGCTGCCCATTTTTTTCTCTTTTCTCGTTCTTTCTATCTTTCTTTTCACGTTCGTCATTTTCTTGGTTTTAGTCGTTCTGTTTCTCGCTTTTTTTTCTATCGGGCTATCCGTTTTATATTTTTTCTCCGTGCGTAGCTTATTTTTCTCTTTTTTCTTTCGCCCTAGTCCACCGTTGTGGTGTAGCGGTTATTGTTATTACATTATAGTTACGCTCCTTGATTACCGAATGCTCAGGAACAAGTAACTTCAAAATCAAGTTGTCGAACAGCACTAAATGCAGTTGTTAAATAAATAACACTGATTTCGATTAGTAAACATGTATATGCTTTTATTCACACTGAACATGACACTGTGAATTAAGCGTAACACAAAAAAATTATTGTCAATACAATAATATTCGAGTCCGGCACCTTTTTCACTGGGAGCACATTCTCCAAAGACTTCCGCGAGAAGAGAGAGAGGGAATAAATGCACGCGGTGCACGAGAACCGAATGCGCCCTTAATCAGTGGCAGGGGCTCAAACCAGCTGGCTGCATGCTCCGGGCTCTCGCCACTGTTTTACGAAAGCCGTCTTTTGTCGAACGCTTGCCGGTAAGCTCCAAGGCTGAGGAGCACGGAGGGCTCTTTACGACTGAGGCGACAAGTCCCGGAGCAACGACGCCATGGTGAAGAAAGAGGCGGAGGCCAATAGCGGTCCGCCAAAGGCCGGGCGAGGGAAGCGTCAGGCTGCCGCTGACCAGAATGGAACTGGTCATTCTAACTAGACTGCAGCTACGAAGCGTCCACGCGGCCGGCCACCAAAGACATCGTCGGAATGACCGCTCGCCCCGACACCCATTGCACCCACGCCAGCTCGGAAGTTGCACAAGGGGACGTAGCCCGAGAGCAAAAACATTTTGGCAGCAAGGAATTGGCAGCCAAAGCCCCGAGAGTGACCCGTCCGAAGCGCTCCCGAAGCACCTTCTTGAGGAGCAAAAACGACATGGCAAGTGAGGTGACAAAGCGTCACCGATCGAAAAGGGTGAGCCGTGGTCGATCCAGCTACTCATCGCGCATTCACCATAGCGGACGCGCTCGTAAAGCCCGAGGCCGTAAAAGCTCTTCTGCATCCTCTGAAGCAAGCCACCCAAAGAAGAGGCACCCCAGGAACCACCGTCATGTCTGGTCCATGACATCTTCTTCGACCAGTAGCCTGCGCTCGAAACGCGGCAAGAAGGGGCACCACGGTCATAGTCACTCGTTCTCGACGCACGGGAAGGCACGGAAGGCTTGGAGCAGCCGGTCGTCGTCTAAGCGTGGGAGGCGCACTAGGACTGGCAAGACGTCCGAGGATCGGAAGGAAAAGTAGGCGAAACCTATAGGACTGAGTTAGCAGAGCCAGACTAAAGGAACAATTCATATTTCCTTTTTTTCTGAAAAATTTGTGAGGCTCAAAGTGCCTCTTCTGCTAGGCACAATATTGTGCAATAAAATCAGCTTTGTGGCCCTTGTATTGCTCAATTATTGTCTGAAGTGCTCTGTACCAGTGGTGCACCCAAACGGTGAGAGGAGGCGGTTTGGGCGATCGCCTCCCCCCCCCCTCTAAACCCGTGTCAGGCCCCACTCCCCTATTAATCTTCATTCTCTGTTGCCCGCCTCCTTGTCGGACATCCTGTGTATGTTGCCTCGGCGATCACTGCCCAAACTGCAGTGCACAGTAGCCGAGTAGGTACAGCCTTCGCTTCCGATGCAGGAGGTACCGTGCTTGATTCCCAGTGCCGCCGGAGACCACCACCTTTGTGTAATGCGAAGAATTTTGCGCACTGCAGTCGCTTTTAGCTTGTCTATCGGCTTATCTATCTATCTAGCCGCCTATTTATGGGTACCCTCGTCCTCACCCCCTTAACTTTGGTAAACAAAAAGTAGTACGGGAGGGTAAGACGGTTTGACCAATATTACTCGCTGATCATGGCAAGAATTATGTAAAAATCCGGTCGCGTAGTTCATCGCACTCTTCCCACCGCCACACGCGTGGCACATACCCATATTTCTTGCATGGGCGGATACGTCACAAGTGATTGAGAGTAGATATAAGGAACTGGCGAGAAAAGAAAGTAGTATTTGTAACGTGAGAGTGTTAAGAAAAATAATTGTCAAATGCCACGTACCTTGGGCATCGATGTTATGGGAATGGAAAATGACTGTACTGTAATTTTTTTTACTATGCGCAGCAATATGAAGTGGAGCTAAAGATATAGATGCATAATCAATTTCAGCGAGTTCAAAGAGCAGTGTTGAGATAAGTATTTGACCGATATAGAGAGATAAGGCCAGCGCATTTTCGGAAATTGAGAAGTTGGTGCGAGACCTATTTATATATTAACAAGACTGATGAAGTACTATTTTTATAAGAATTGAAGCTACAACGAGTTCGTATGCATTCGTTTTGGTTGATACAGCACACACGAGCAGACGATGAAGAAAAAGATACTCAGAGCTTGTGTTTCTTTTTCTTCGTCATCATGTCATGTGCACTGTATCAACCAATATGTATAATTGCCAGTTGTATACAAATAATATATTTTGTTTTTCAGCTTGTTCCCCGTGTGGGATTGCAAGAAGGTTGCTAAAATGCGTGGAATTTACATATGCCTTGTCTTCGTCCTGGTTTGCGGTAAGTTTTAGTACACAAATACAATATTTTCAAATACAATATTTTCAAATACAATATTTTCAAATAAAATATTTCCCCCATCATATAATACTTATGGATGAGATCGCATGTATGTAACATCTCTTATAGTATAGACAATGAGAAGTTCAACCAGGTAAATTTCATACATAATGGAAGCTGACTTATGCCATCCAGTCATATTTAGTCTTACTTGTGAGATAAATTGGGTACTCTACCGAATTTTTCGTGACTGATTGTCAAGTTGAATTACTAGCGTAAGCGAAGCAAAACATAAACGTCTGTTGTAAATGAGGCATCCCCTCATACTCTGACAGCCTTATAATGTGTTGAAAAAGATTGCTGGGCCCAATTTTTTGGTCGTTTTGAATAGCGCTCAACACGGGCAAAACCTAATTTTTTCCTTTCGCTAAAACATATAATTTTCTCGCCAAAACCTCCTGCCTGCCAAAAAAAGCCGTGACATGGACAGTGAGCGACTTGAAGTTTTCAACAAAAAATAGCAGTAGAGGCTCTACTATGCCTCTACAACAAAATAAGTGGCTCGTGAACGAATATTTCCGTAAGAAACAATGTATATAAGCCACCAGCTGCATACGCCTGCCCACTAGAGGCCACCGCCATTTGGCCATGGCACATGAGCCGTCATGGACAAATAGAGTGCAGGCGTCGTTTCCTACCAAAGTGTAAGCCACTGTAAGGCACACTTTTCTGTACTGAACTGAAAAAAAAGCTAACATGATATCGTACGTGGCTCGTCATAGAACAATATCGTTCGGCGGAATGCACACGCTCGTACAGCTGATTGATATGTGAGGTTTAACGTCCCAAAACCACTATATGATTATGAGAGACGCCGTAGTGGAGGGCTCCGGAAATTTCGACCACCTGGGGTTCTTTAACGTGCACCCAAATCTGAGCACACGGGCCTACAACATTTCCGCCTCCATCGGAAATACAGCCGCCGCAGCCGGGATTTGAACCCGCGACCTGCGGGTCAGCAGCCGAGTACCTTAGCCACTAGACCACCGCGGCACGCTCGTACAGCTAGCTGCTTCTGTTGTCATGGCTCACGATTGCACTAATGTTGCCCGACTGCCATGACGCTCACTTGTTTGTAAAATATTCAATTATAGGTCAAGTTCTCAAACCAAAAGCGTTAAAATTTTGACTGCTTATTTGCGAATACACAAGGAATAACTCAAATAACATAGATTTCGTTGAAAAAGTAGCAGTCAAGGCCCCCTTTAGGCACAGCTTAACATGGCTTCCACTAACAGGGAATGTTTTACGGAATTGGGTATATCGAGTGATTTCAAATTTTATGTGTTTTGGGTAGCTTTCGTGACACCACCACTCTACTAAAATTAACGAACCAGCTGGGTTTTCAAGACCCTGAAATGAACACATGGCCTAATTTTGCCAGCAGCTGTCTCGTTCGGCTTCTGGCATTCTGTTTGTTTGTTCGTTAAATAATACAATTAAACCTAGAAGGGTTATTACAGAAGTGAAAGAACAATCAGATACATTTTATTAAGAAACATTCACGCGACATAAACAAGAACTTGAACTCAAGGTCACTGCCTACATCAGAGGTATGCTAAGAGTAAAGAGAGGAGAAAAGCACAAGTGAACTCGTGGCGTCTATGGCGTAACGTTAATTATAAGTGTTCAAGAACGCCGAGTGACGCGAATACGCAAGAGCACGGAGCACGTTCAAGATTGCAGTAAGGCAAGGCGAGCCGACCAGTGAATCAGGCAGCATGCTCAATCCATGAGTCACTCGTGAAAAATAGATATACTAAAGATGTCAATTCGAATCAGTTTAGCTATAATAAACATGCCATGCCTGTTCCTGAAACACTGATTGGGTGCAAATGTGAAAACGTCGGGCCCGTTAATCTTAAGCTGGTTACGAGCAATCAGGAAAAGGGCTTTTAATCATTCCACTGCTGTCCTTATTTCGAAAGCAGTAATATTTGTATTTTGGCAAAAATCAGAACGAGAGTGACAACGACGATTGATTGATTGATTGATATGTGCGGTTTAACGTTCCAAAACCACCGTATTATTATGAGAGACGCCGTTGTGAAAGGCTCCGGAAATTTCGACCACCTAGGGTTCTTTAACGTGCACCCAAATCTGAGCACACGGACCTACAACGTTTCCGCCTCCATCCGTAATGCAGCCGCCGCAACCGGAATTCAATCCCGCGACCTGCAGGTCAGCAGCCGTGTACCTCAGCCACTAGACCACCGCGGTGGGGCCACGACGATATTTAATAAAAATTAATCGAGCTGCTAGGCGTTGGGCTCGATCAAATTTGTGTCGATATAATGCAATTTGGAGGTCCCGCAATATTTTAATATATTCTTTAATGAATCGTAAGAAGGCTCTGGATCCTACGTTTTTAATTCGAAGAGCTGCACTACGTAGCTTACGTCTTACACTCCAAATAGCTCTACTGGCATTTTTGATCACCATATGTAAGTGGCTTCTGTACTGTTGTTGGAACTACACTGAAAAGAAGCTGTTCGCCGAGAAAATGTCTGCAGTTACGGCGCAAATCAATCGTTCCGTGACATACAATTGGCAACTGAATGCACGCCTGACTTCACTTCTCCACATCAGATAGACTTGCCTCACCCTATTTTCCGCTTGCAGTTATATATTTAGCTTTGAACATTCGACAGTGGGCACTTAATTTTCATAGAATTGTTTTTGTGGTATCTTTCAAGTTTTTTTTTGAGGTATTCTTACCAGTGACAATATTGACCCTCATACGCATTCTGATTGTTCGCGCTTGCAGGTCTTGTTTCTGGACTGGCTGATGTTCCAGCAGAAAGCGAGATGGCTCATCTTCGTGTCCGTAAGTCACGCATGCAACCTGTTCCTTAATATTCCACAAATACTCTTCAACTTACTATACAGAGACAAAATAGCTAGCATGAAATGCATTTATATCGTGTGGTTACTGAAAATAACTTCCTCATTGATGTCTTACTTTGAAAGCGGCGGCTCCACTGGTGGATTAGGACAAAATTTTAGACATGCTTGGCATCAGCATGCTCGTCAAGGAATATTAGCGTGAATACGCTAATAAAAATATATTAAAGTGTGCCTGGTTGCCATTCATCCATGTCGCAGAAATTTAGGTATCAGTAACGTTGGTTGTGAGTGAAAAATGGCATTGTGCGGTAGCCGAAAATTGTGATAGGTGCAAATACTAAAAAATCAGGGGTTCGTGCTGGACTCAAACTCAGGCCTTCGGCACAGCCGTCATGCGTTTTTTTATAAAGCCGTGCAAGCGTGCGCTTAATAAAGTTTCGGAAATAGAAAAAAAAATTAGCCATAGACGCCTGCTCTAGAGGGAGGAGCCACAATATACCAAATATAGTATTGTCACGGTGTTGTGGCGTTAAAAAACACATCAGTTGACAAATGAAAGATGGCACTTTTTATTTGACTGAACTTGTGGCTGCAAAACAGAAATTCACAATCATTGAACGCTGTACACTGATATCTGCGCACAAAAAGTCGGTAGTCGTTAAATTGACAAGCAGTCAAGTTGGCAAAATTTGACACATGTATCATCAAACATTCCAGCGTTTTGGATAGCGGTCGCGTATGTTTCAGAACGCGCGCAAAACGTGTACTTTGAACACGTGATTGAATTGGTAGGTTATAGAATTATTTAAAATTCCCAGTCATTCAGGCGTGCTCCGTGCAGAGCAGCAGTTACATTGCAATAGGGTGGTAACATGAAAACGAAAAGAAAAGTTTAGTGACAATATTGCGTGGTTGAAGTGCGTAGTCATACCAGGAATCGCGCTGTATCGTCTGAAACACTAAACAGCGTATATTCTAGGACTTCGCGTCGTGCGCTCAACGTTACATAAGAAATCGTTGCTCCGCATCAGTTAATTCAGAACAAGGAATTCGTACGGATCTTGAAACGATATTTTTTATTTGTTTTGACATTGGTCATTGACTTTCGTCTTCAACATTGCTTTCATCTGAACAGCAGGTATACCGTTGAAGTCTTAACTACGTTAGCATCAGCAACTACTATAGACAACATGCTATCACTGGTATTTTTGACACTTTTTAAGCGCATCAACGTGACAGGCGGCCTTGAAGACGCACATGCGTTTTATGTTAACCTGTAAGTCCTAGCAACTCATCCCGGGATCTTTGCATCAAAAACACCCTGCGATATCGGTGTTCAGCCACCAAGTAATTTCTAAAGCATTACAACAGCTTCTTTAGGCATGGATAGAACACTGAAAACACACCGTGGAGCACCTTGAGAGTAAGATTTGCTTCACAGCACGCCAACTGGAGTACATCATTCCCAAATTACTCTTTGAAATACATTTTTTTGCAAACCAAGCTTCGCGACGAAGAGCGGAAAAGCAGGAAGCTTCCCAAGAAGGCCTTGCTAGAAAAGACAGAGAACTTACGGGACCCTAGTTCGAGATCAAGAAATTTCCTTCATACGAGCTAGCTTCTGCTGTGTGGCATGTTTTAAGTCATAATCTCATTTTTAACCAAGCAAATCAACCGGACACGTGAAAAGTCGTGTGTGCTGTGAAAAATGCCATAGGTCTACTTGACGAAAATGATCGAAACTAAGTCTGGACGAAAACAGGAGGAATACTATTGAAGCTTCATAAGTCTGGCTGCCAGCAAGAGTTCTCGAAAGACGAGCGAGAAGTAGCCAAGTTGTACGAAAAAAAGAAGATTGCCGTCGTTTTTTCCGATAAAGGCAAAGTGACAGTAGTGCTTCATTGGTCAACGTATGACTCGAAGATGGCGGAAATAGAGGGGGGGGGGGGTATAACGTAACCAAGTTTGACAAGAATCCTACTTCGGAAGTCCAAACACGTCTGCAAAAGGCAATCTATGGTAATATCCAGACGCTCCCTGCATTGGCAAAAAAAAAAAAAAAACGCGGGACCGGCGCGGAAGGCAGACCACAGTCACAGCGAAAGCATGAACAGCAGCCTTTCAGAGGCTTTTTTAAACACTCTCCGGGTAAACGCTAGAATCACACCTAATGGGCACCCACTAAGCCATAAATCATAATAACTTTTGCACGGTAGGCAAGCAGTCACTGCGCTATCCTTCGTCATTCTTTGGAGATGCTTGGTATCCGCAAACCACTTGTAATGAATTTTGTGTTGCATTCAGTGGCTGACAGCGATAAAGAATTACGCCTGAATTGGGTATGTGCCACAATTAACAGGTGATGAAGAAGGAGATTTTGTAAATGGTTGCAGCGTTGGAAAACCCACTCGTCACACGATTCACCTTGTATTGCGCCTCGTTGTTGCTTTGCTGTTACAAAACACTTTATTGCTCATATTCACGCAATTCCTTTCCCGACATCAAGCCTGCCTCAGAAAAATTCGCGAACGAATGCCAAGTACCAGCGCAGCTCAGCAGTAGAGTACTGGGCTTGCAAGCATGGGACACGGGTTCGAATATCACTATGTCGCCACATGTCTTTGGTGTTTCTTATTCAAGTTTTTTTTCTCATTTTGTGTGGTAGTGGTTACGGGCAACGGCAGCGGTGGCGGAATACTATACGGCACTGCGGGTGACCCATGTTTTGAGCCAATAACCACTTTCGCTGTCAAAGGGTGTATTATCAAACGCTGTGCACCATGCAATGGTTCTGCTTCAACGATTTATGGCTACCGAAGATTCACAAGAGTGGCACGCCCCTCATGCCCATTGTAGAGTTCACTATATCACCACTGTACAGCCTTTTAGAGTAGCTTCATGGCATCATGGATCCCTTGGCAATCAAGAACATCAATGACACCATAATCGAAATTAGAAGAATCGGTGTGGACGCCGAGAGAGTGCTGGTTTCTTTTGACGTCTGCTCCCTCTTTACTTCATGCCGTTCATGCCGACTTTGCTGTAGAAACTTTGACATAGTTGCTTCATAAGGACACGACATTGGTGGATCGAACACAGTTCAACGTTGCTGTGCTCTAAACCTTATTATGGCTTTGTCTGTCCAACAATAGTCTCATGCTGTCTCGCAGGTGGTGGAATTGAATCCCGGCTGCGGCGGCTGCATTTTTGATTGAGGCTAAAATTGTCTAGGCTCGTCTGCACAGATTAGGATGCACGTCAAAAAAACGACGGGTGGTCTAAATTTTCAGGGCCCTCCTCTACGTCGTCTCTCATAATCATATGGTGATTTTAGGACGTTAAACCCCACATATCAATCAATCAATGAACACTTACTTCGCGTACGAGGGTGAATAATACAGGCAAGTTTTTGGTACCTCGATGGGATCATCGATTTCCGTCACAACGGCGAATATCACGATGGAAGCAATTGAACACAAAGCATAGGCGATATCATAGGCAATATCACAAGGCATAGCGATCGCCTAATGCAGCACATTATCGTAGGCACCCATAAGGTCTAGGAAGATCGCCGCCACTAGTCTGCGTCGGCTTTTTTCCTCTTCAACGCTGGTAATCAAGTCGACTACACCGTCAATGGCAGATCTCTTCAGAAGCCGTTTATAAATGCAGGAAAGGAGTTGTTGCTCGCTAGAAGCCACTCTAATCTGGACAGTACCATTCTTTCTATTACTTTCCCGATGCAGCTGGATAAGGCGGTTGGTTTGTAAGAGGAAAGTGCATTAGGACATTTCTCCGGCTTAAGGAACGCAATATTGCGACTGCGTTTCCAATTAGCTTGTACTTTTTCTGACTCTCATGAGGTGTGATAATGAGATAACAGGATCTGTCATGCTTCTGTATCAAGATGGTGGAGTGCAGCATACGTGATTCTGCCAGGTCCTGGTGCCGATGAGCGTCGGGAGGCAGAAATCGCAGCGTCAAGCTCATGCATTGTAAAACGCAGATCAAGGTGCCCGTTAGACGACGAAGGCACAATGGTAGTAAGAGGCGCACTAGTGGCAACATCATGAGTGGTGTCCACAGTGACGCTACAGTAGTCGCTGACTATTTGAACTTTTGTCCTCCTTTGACGCAGAGCAACAGCTTGAAATGGTTGACGTTGTCGGAGAGGTGTCTCCAAACTTCGTAACACCCGCCAGATCTTAGAGATTGCCTAGGGTGCAGAGATCCACAGAGTTTTCTCCAATGCTGCCTGTCAATCTTGTCAAGATGCCAAAGAACATGCTGTTGAGCTCGACGACAGGCGGAAAACTCTGAAGGTGACTTCATTAGTCTGTGTCAGCGTTCTTCGCGGCGACAGATTGCACGAAGGGCCTCGTATGGGGAGTCAGCTGGTCATCTCTGCATCGGTAGGTTAACCTTTTTAGTTGTGTCACGCAGTGCAGAAGCAATGATGTCATCTACCTCGGATGGATCAGTCGCGTGCTCACAGCCGGACTTGACAGATGACTTGAACAGTGTCCAGTCTGTTTGACGGAAGTAGCGCGTGTGTGTGTGTGGTGAAACCACCTGAACTGAACATAGGTTTGAAGGTGGTCACTGCCGCAAGTGTCCAAATCTGTGCACCAACATGCGGAAGAGATAAGGCTCCTGGAAACGAAATAGAAGTTGAGGCAGCTGCTGTAGGACGTGCCACAAATAAATGTAGGTGATCCGTCGTTGAGCACAGTTGGTCCATAGTTGCATATAAAATTGGTCAAATTCCTACCCCGATAATTCATTGTAGTGCTACCCCAGAGAAGGTTATGTGCATTAAAATCGCCAATCACAATGTGTGGCCTTTGTGCGGGTTGAAGAATGGTCCCCAGGTGGAAGCCATCTATCTGTGCGCTGGGGGTTATGTATCCTCCTATTACTGAGAATGTACGCTTTTATGTGTTATAGGCAGGCTCACGTAATCATTGCTGGCATGCGACG